CAACAGACATTTATTTTCTCACAGTTATGGAGGCTGGAAGTTTAGGGTCAAGGTGTTGGCAGGTTTGGTTTCTAGTGAGGCTCCTATTTTTGGCTTGCAGATGGCCACCTTCTCTCTGTGGCCTTCCCTCTGTGCATGCATGTCTCTCATCTCTTCCTTTTCTTATAGGAACACCAGTGCCTCACACTTGTGACCTCATTTAACCTTAATTACCTCCTAAAAAGGCCTATCTTCAAATACAATCACATTGGGATTTAAGGCTTTAACGTATGAATTTTGGGGGAACATAATTCAGTCCATAATACAATGTGCCTACCACTGTTGTGGTTCTTTGAGATACATTAGTGAACAAAACAGAGATTTCTCCCCTTGTGATTCTTGTATTCTAAAGGGAGGTGACAAACAATAAATAATAAACATTATAGGTATACAAATCATATAGTATGTGAGAAGGTAATAAGTGTTATGGACAAAACAATAAGAACAAGGGAGGGGGATTTGTACTGTTAGCACAGGCTTCAGGGTGGGTGACAATTTTAAATAGATTAGTCCCCCTGGAGTACTTGACATTTGAGCAAGATCCTGAAAGATATGAGAAAATTAGCAGTATAGATATCTGTTCTTGTTAAGTCTGGTGTTTATTCAAGTGAGAACAGCAGGCTTTATTGGGAAGCTATGGACAACATGATTTAGAGTCAGATGACCTTGATTCAAGTTCTACCTTTTGGCAAGTCAGAATCTGCACTAAATTGCATAACCAGCACCACAGGTTAAATGAATTCCAGAAATCAGCATATGTCAGAGCTGATTATCCCTATTTTAGATGAAAAATAGGAAAACAAATTGCTTCTGTGCTGAATTTGAACTTCTTCAGGAATCACTGATTGCAAAACTTATCATGTATAAATAACTCCTCTCCCCATTCCCAAAGGCACTTCTCTGTTACCTTGGTTTCATCGCACTGTTGACAGACTACCTCTTTCTTTGGTGTGAAAGATCAGTACTGACCTCATTGATAAATATGTCAATCAGAGGCATTCCAAATGGCTTTTCAGTTGAAGCTAGGGATGAGTTTTTGCTATGGGTAAGGCAAAGTTGTTGATGAAATTCAGCAGCTCTGCACTAATGTAAAATATCAAGTAAGAAATATTTATGGAGCATGCCCAGAATCACAGTTTACTCAGCAGCTAAGACCGTAATTCTGTCAACTCTTGATTATCCGTATTAATAAAAAATAAAAATATCACTGGTTAACATTGAGGATAATCTATACATTCTCACCAAAGACAGGAGAAAATAGCAGGAAATACACAGTGGCCAAATGGAAGAAGTAATTCTCAACATGGGCAGCATGGGAGGTCGTGAAGGCTTAACCGAAGATCAGTCAAATCTACCTGGCAGCAACCAGAGCAAAGAATGAGGGAAAAGGGAAATATAGGTCATGAAGGAGCATTCATTTTAACTTTAGGATGGATAATAAGAGGATGGATCCCTTTTTTTAAAAGAAAAAGTAAATAGGCCTAATATAATTCCTCATATTCATTTATTCTATAAATGAAGTGCCTTTTCTATGTCAGACCCTGGGCTGAGCTCTGGAGGGATAATAGCAAATAATCCAATCCTTACTTTTTTAGGAGATGACAGTGTAGTCAACAAAACATAAAAGTAAAACAATACAGCCCAGCGTGGCTGGGTTTTATGCACAGGGACCTCTGGGAACCAAGCAGGAAGCCCCTGGCCCAGAGCAGAGAGTGAATGTGACAGGCCGGGAAGGTTTCCAGGAGCAACCAAAGCCCGATTGCATCTTACTGGAGCAGCTGCTGTTAGCTGTGCCTTCACAAGGCCATCCAACCACCATTCATTAAGCCATCTTGGCTTGTTAAGCATGTGTGCTAAGGTCTAGAATGATCAAGAATCATTCCAGTTTTTGTAGAGGATTCATAAAGCAAATGTACTTCACAGGGCCTGGTTTTCCAAAACCTTGCAATTTCAAATACTGATCTTACAAAGGACAGGAAATTTTCCCCAGGCTATTGAATCTCTGTTGCAAGGTAAGAATTGTAACACAGCAAGGTTGCTGGCTTAAAGACAGACAAGTTACTAATTGATATGTAAAGTTACTAAAAAGCTGCCAGAGGGAAAAGGAATGTTTGCTCAATCAAGCCTTTGTTAGTGGATCACTTAATTGCCTAACAGAATGTCATCCAACTTGTTTTTACTGAATGTTACCGGCTTCTACTGTAAAACTTGTTAAACTGTACTTAGCAAAAGCCCACCTATGTCTCTTCCTGTAACTTCTTGGTCTGGAGAATAAATGCAGGAAGAGAACCCCAAGTCATGGTTAATTTCCCAAATGGAAAAATGCCTCGTGCTTGAGGAAGTTCTGGGATATTAACCCCTTTCTGGGGCTTCTCACTGCTCAAAAGAAATGGGCTTTGAGTAATCTTTGGCAGCTCCATTACCCAGGGGAAAAGGGGTGACAAATCCATAGGAGGCAAAACAACAAGTTTTCTAAACTTAGACTCTACTGAAGTGAAACCGATATCAACAAGCTCAAAGATGTGTCATTAGACACTGTGAGGAAGTTATAAAAAGGATTTTCAGCAGCACAAGTCTGTTCCACTGCATTTGGGGGTGGTGGTATGAGGTATGGTAATACAGCATCTGGGAAGATGGTAGGTGGGCAGCACGTGGAATTGAAGACAGATGAAACACCATGACCAAGGGTGACTTTGGAGAACCACACTTAGTTCCGTTTGGCTACAGTTTACAGTGTGCAAGGAAGATGGAGAGAGATTAGGCAGGAGAGCAGAAACAGAGCGAGCAAGGCCCGTGTGCTGGAGGAAGGCAGTGGGTTTATTCTATGGACATATGGATATTTGTGAGGGATGAATTCAATGATTAAAACGGCAAAGTGATGTGTGAAAATTTAGATTTTCAGTCATTCTGGCCTCAGTGTGGAGGTCAGACTAGAGAGGGGAGGGACTGGGGGTTGCAGGGACCAGTTAAGATTTTCAGCATTTGCCTGGGCATGAAACAAGAAGATGCGAATCAAGACTGCGTAAGTGAGAAAAAAGAGAGAAACGCGAAAGGAGAAATAATTTACAGGACTTGGTAACTGATTGTATGGCCTTGGTATTTCAGAGGAAAGGGGTGAGCATGCCCTCCTGTCTTTCAGTCTGTGCAACTTAGTGTATCAGCCGAGCTTACCCTCTTGTGTGGATTTTTCAGCAGAAGTGAGGGTTTAACAAACTCTGAGGCTTTATATATGTAGTAAAAAGTGCTTTGGTAGGGTACAAATTCTTTAATGAATTTTAAATTTCTTGAGTGTAAATATCATTTCTTAATTGTTTTAATCTGTTTTAGTGCAATTTTGTAGAACTTGATAAAGTAATGCTTTAGCCTAAATTAATCTGATATATAAAAAGCAAAGATGTATATAAACCTTTAGTTTAAAAAAAAATTACTTGAAAATGACATCCCTTATAGCACTACACATATTGAAAGAATGTTAGGTTACCAGTGACACAGCTTTTATAGCCTTTACATTCTCCTTCAAAAGAAAACTAGCACTAGTCATGAAAACATAAACTAAGGTAACAGTTTTATGTGGAATAAAAGGTGTAACTGGTTTCCTTCTTTGGATTAATTAATTAATTAATTTATTTATTTTATTTTTTGTCTTTTGTCTTTTTCCGTGTCCAGCAACGGATCACAACCCTCAGTGTTGCCCCCGTACCAGACCGGGGACCGGCAATGGGATCGCAACCCTCGGTGTTGCTCCCGCGCCTCGCTCAGCCAGTGAGCGGGAACCGGTCTGTATGTGGGATCCGAACCCTCGGGCGGGAGCGCCGCCGCGCTTCCCAAGCAGCGCACTATCCAGTGCGCCACCGGGCCGGCCCTGGATTAATTTAATTAATGTCACTACTAGTAGTGGCTTTTTGGATTATTAACTTATTCTAAAAGAAAGGGCTATCTTTTATTTCATGAATTATGGTTTGGTAGAGACTGAGGTTTAGAGATGGAATAAATTTATATAGACTAACTCTGTAGAGAAAGTTTAACAATAATGTTTCATGGACAATGCTCAGTGGAGAAAGCAATTGCTATTTCAGGCCCTTTTGGCCTGAAGAGATTTTATTCCAAATCTGTGGTTTAAATGCATAACAAAAGCAAGGAAACTTTAATGGTACTTGCTTTGAAATTAGAATGTGATTACTTTTAAGACACTATGGATAGTTTTATTGCCTTAAACTATTTTTAAAATGTGATACTTTTTAATAGTCTCTACAACTATGTGCTGTTCAGAAGAAAAGCTAGTAGAGAATTCACTTTGGTTGAGTTAGGTGAGAATCTGCAGATAATTGCAGGAAAAGATGTTATGTTTTGACCTGGTGATCATTAGTCTTTTCCATGCCTTCCCTAAAGCTTGACACAGGGGCGTTTCCAGTGGAACACTTTTAGCCTCATTGGACCAACTGGCAGTGTAAGGTTATTAAAACTTTTCATTTTGGAATGTTCAATGATTTGGGGAAAGGTCATGATGAGTGTGAACATAATTCACACATATATACAGTTTTGATTTATGTTTTATTCCTTGAAACATGTTAGAGGGATATGAACTGTTTCTGACATATAGGTCTGAAATCTTTGTAATCTGTGTGTCTAAAAAAAAAAATAGTACCTGTTCTTGAGAGTGTTAGTTCTCAGGAGTTTGTCTTAGAAATAGGTCAAGATAGGGCCAGCCCGGTGGCACACTGGAGAGTGCGCCGCTTGGGAGCGCGGCGGTGCTCCCGCCGAGGGTTTGGATCCCATGTGGAGACCGGTTCCCGCTCACTGGCTGAGCGCAGTGCGGGCACAACACCGAGGGTTGCGATCCCGTTGCCGGTCCCCGGTACGGGCGCGACACCGAGGGTTGCGATCCTGTTACCAGTCAGTAAAAAAGGTAAAAAAGGAAAAAAAAAAAAGAAAAGAAACAGGTCAAGATAAAGACTCCTTACCCGGCCATACATGCTCTGGTATGCCTCTGCAATCATCATCCTTTGTGCATTGCAGCGCTGAGTTAGGATGTTGATCAGCATGTCTTTGTCACAGTCTGGAAAAGAATAGTATTTGAAGATTAATACAGTTGCTACTCTGTAGCTAGGAACAACCCATTATCTAAGGATCAAAACCAGTGTGCAAGCATTATTCCTGATTGTACTTTAAAGCAGAGAGCAATTTTAACTAAACTTGGAAATCACATAGCAACCCTGGATGAAGCATATGTTTTCCTATCTCTCATTTAGTGTTTTACAACAGGTTGCCTCCTTTTCTTTAAAAAGATCCAATAAGAAGTACAGAAAAGTAAAGAAAATGTATGCTTTCTTCAACCTTCCTACCCAACCAAAAGACCTTCAAGCTGATTAGTGTTTAAATGGTAAGAGCATCTTTCTCATTGCACAGTTAGGGAGATATGGCTTGCAATGAACACATCTTAGGACAAAAATGACTGCTCTTTTCAGTACCTCTGGAGGAAGGAGGGGTAATGGAGAAGGAAATCATGGAAGCACAAGGTGTCTGCCTACTTCTGAGGAATGGTGTGAACCCTTCATGCTTTTCATGGGGCATGATCTTTCTTGCCCTTAATATAGGCTCTGTTTCTGGGAGTACCTTCTCCACTTCCTCCTGTACCAACACAGGGAGCTAATAGACCACCTTAATGAATAACTGGTGTAGATAATTTTCATTGTAATGACAATCAGAAGAGTGACTAACACAGTCTTAACATTTCTCTCAGATTGGCTAAAATTTAGACAGGTTTCTTCTTAATTACAGACCCCCAACCTCCCTTTCCTTAGACTGTTTATTTTGGAAAGCTTTCCATTGCAAATTCTTTCTTTGCTCCTTAGAGATGTAAGTCTTCTCCCACCCTCTTGTCTGTAAGTTTTACGACCCAGAAATGTCTTTCTTTAGAACCTGGAAGCCATCCTTTTGAAATGTAATCACGAAGAAAGACAGAGCTCCTTTTGCCTAGTGTCCATGTGAGGGTAGGAATCTAACTCTAGTAAGTGCCAATTGCCAGTTGCAGATGGCCTAATCACAATGACCAATGCCTCCCATCCCAACATGCTACAATACTTTTCCACTAGCTCACCCCAGTGCTTAAAAACTCTCCCACCTTTTGTTTCAGGAGAGTTGAGTTCAGTCTCTCTCCTCTCTTGCCATGGTCTTGATCCCTTTTGCAATAGTGTTAAATAAAGTCTTTCTTGCTTTATAAATTCTATCTGGTATAATTTTTCTTTGACAAGAGAAAATGTTTAATGAAGAAGAGAAGAAATATTAAAGTGAAAGACTAGATGTTAAACAAATCATCTTTTTGGAAATTAAAGCCATTCTGGATGGTCTTAGAATCACAGGAAGGCCATGAGTCAGGTGCTCAAATATCCAGTGAATAAGGGCAAGTGACTAAGATTTACATAGATGACTGTGCCAGTGAGAAGCAGGAGGATCAAGGTGCTTTAGACAGGTGAGAGAAATGGTCTGAAAGCTGTAATACGGAGGGAGAAAGGCATAGAATCATCTCCAAAGACTAAAATTAATGGCTTCTGACAGAAAAAACAGCCTCCACTGAAGGCGTAGAGCAACATGGTGCCTGGGGCTAGCCCAGTAATGCCCTGAATTTGGAGGAAAATACATAACTGCAAAGGAGTCTATTAACTGTATGATGAGTATTCCAAAATGAACAGATTTTAATAACAAGTAAAAGATTTTAAAATTGCTTCTATTGCCTTATTCTTACTATCATCACATTTATGTAATCATTATAGTCTTCTGCATTTTGTCATTGATTCTGTTGAGATATTCATAACCTACCTCTCAAAATTACTTGTCATTTTCTTATGTTTTCATAGCAATTTTTGCTTATTTATCCTTTTAGAGATATTTCAGAATAATTTTTTATGTATCTCAAAAATTATATTAAAATTTCTTTATTAAAATAACTAAAGTTAGGAATCAATTTTGAAAGAGATATCTTTCTGTCACTAACGTGAAATATCTGATGAACTATTTAAGGGTTTTTCTTTTAAAAAAGACTTGATAAAGATTTGTAGTTTTTTGTTTGTTTGTTTGTTTGCTAATGACAAGAAGCTTTATTTTGCTAAAATTACTCATATTTGTATTTCTGTGATATTTAAAGTTACATTATTTTAATTTTATTTCTTAATACATAATTTTGCTGCTTAATTAAGGAAATGATTTTGGATTTTATGGTTACCTTGTATCCAGAAAAAATATTCAACTTATAATTTTTAATAATTTCTTATTTGATTATCTTGGATTTCTAGATATATAATATCTTCTAATAATAACTTTGATTTTTCTTTCAGAATCATTGCATATTTTTCTCTTTCTCATTCTATTGCCTTAGGTTGGGGATTCATATTTTCTGGTTTTAGCAGAAAATCCTGGAAAAATGAACCACAGCAACTTTGTAGACTTTTACAAGATGCACTGGACTCTTTTGTAGTATTTGTATTCTACAAAGTTGTCATAAACAGTGAATTAGTGAATGCTGAACTATTGCTCCTAGGGAAAGGACAGGGTTAGGTCTCTACAACACTTTGTTTACAATATTTTTTGTCAACTGAAATGCCATTTGCATTATAGGTTTGTTTGACAATGTTCTAGCAAAACAAGCAGTCTCATCAGCACAGAAAACCTACACTTTCACACATTCTTTTCCTTTTCCTGTATAATATGTGGAAGGTATTTTTAAAGTTCTTTTGCAGCCTCCTGATCTGCAGAACTTGTCTCACCTTGCAGACAGCACTACTATCAAAGGAAAGCTGACCATTAAGCATCTTTTAAAAAATTATTACCATCTGTTAGCACCCACAAATTCAAGTACTTTTTTATCTTTTCCATAGCTTCATAACATAGAATAGATGCTACTTTAGCATTTTCTGGATAGTCTCATGTACAGATCAATAAATTTTATTTTCTTTTTTCTGGATGTATAGTATTATTAATTCATTAACATTAAATTCATAGCCAACAGCACTAAAACTCATGTTTGGATTTAGCTTATGTAACACACATACTTTGTCCTGAATACTTCTTTTTGTGCATAGAAACACTAAAACAGCACTTTAGCACTATGCTTGGGGCGATTTTAATCAGCAAAATTACAAACAAAAAGCATTAAAAAATGCAAAGAGTGTGGCACTGAATAGACCACAAAAAGGACATTTATTTACAGTATGAGAGCTAAAGCAGGAAGAAATAGCTAAATAAGTAGTCACCTTGCTTGATCTCAACTAGGAATATGCATTCTAGTAACTAAAATATTTCACTTCTCTGCACTTGTCTTCAAATGACCATGAAAGCACTACAAATATTGATTTTAGGGTTATATACAAAATTTGGCAATTAGACAAATTTGCAAGTATGGAATCCATGAATAAGAAGGATTGACTGTAGGATTACACAGATAAAAGTGATGTACTAGGCAGGAAAATAATTATTACTAAAATCTGAAATTATTTCTAAATAGAACTGAGTATTCTAAAAACCCCCACAACTTTAAATATAAAGACATAATAGATTAAAAGTAAAAGAAGAAACATGTACTATGCTAACATAATCAAAAGAAAGCTGGAGTAGGTGTACTAATTGTAGACAAGAAAGACTTCAGAACAAAGAAGTTATCAGATAAATAGGATCATTATATAACAATAATAATGGGGTCAATTCTCTAAGAAGGCATAACAAATCTTAATGGGTATGTGCCAAATAGCAGAGTGTCAAAATAGATGAGGCAAAGACTGATAGAATTGCAAAGATAAATAGATAAATTCACTGTTATAGCTAGATACTTCAATACCTCCTTATCAGTCAATGACAGATCCAGCAGGCAGAAAATCAGTGAACTGAACAGCACCATCAATCAACTGGATCTAATTGACATCCATAGAATTCTTAATGCAACAACAGCAGAATACATATTCTTCTCAAAGTCACATAGAACATTTACCAAGACAGAACACATTCTGGGCCATAAAGCACACCTTAACAAATTAAAAAAAAAAGAAGTAACCATACAAAATATGCTCTCAGATCACAATGTAATTAAGCTAGAAATCAATAACAGAAAGACAGCTAGAAAACTCCAAAATACAAGCATACTAAACAGCACAGTTCTAAATAATACATGGGGCAGATAAAGTCTCAGAGAATTTTTTAAATTTTCAAATGAAATGAAAATGAAAGCACAACATGTTAAAATTTGTGAGATACAACAAATGCGATGCTTAGAGAAAAATAGATAACATTGAAAGCAAATATGAGAAAAGAAGAAATATCAGAAATCAACAATTTAATTTCTGCCAAAACTAGAGAGAGAGAGAAAAAAAGAGCAAATTAAACCTAAAGTAAACAGAAGAAAAAAATAATAAAAATTAGAGCAGAAATCTATAAAATTGAGAACAGGAACTCATTAGAAAAAACCAATGACACCAAAAGCAGGTTCTTTAAAAAAAATCAATAAAATTTATAATTTTCTAGGCAGGTTAACTAAGAAAAAAAGAGAGATACACAAAATGCTTATATCAGAAATGAAAAAAGGCCCATCACTACTGATTTCATAGACATTGAAAGTATAATAAAAGAATATTTTAAACAATTCTATGCCCACAAATTTGATAGTCTAGATAAAATGGATTGATTCTTTCAAAGATGCAATCTACCCAAACTCCTACAACCCCCCCCCCACCAGTCTTTTTCTGTTAAAGAAACTGAATAAATAATTAGTAACTTGCTGAAACATGCCCAGATGGGTTCACTGGTGAATACTACCAAACTTTTAAGGAAGAAATACTGATTCTCTACAATCTCTTCCAGAAAACAGCAGCAGAAGGAGTACTTTTTGATTCATTCCATGAGGCTAACATTACCTAATACCACATCCAGAGAAAAACATTATAAGAAGAAATAGCTACTGAGCAACATCTCTCATAAACATAGATGTAAAAATCCTCAAAAAATTAACAAATAGAATATAACAATGTATACAAAAGAATTATACTTCATGACCAAGTGGGATTTATCCCAGGA